ACCAGTGGTTATAGCTGAACTGCCATCCTTAAAAAAATTAGCTGACATTTTTTCAAAATAATACTGAATTTCAAAATAAGTATTAAAAGTAGGGGAAAAAGAAAAAAGAGCGAGAGCAAAAATCAGTTTAATATACTTATATAAGTATTACTCGGTTGCAGTCAAAAGAGAAAAACTCGTGTCGTCGCTTGCTTTGGCTGTGCGTTCAGATATATATAGCTGTAGTCAACATTTCCACTCCTCTCCTCGTAGACACTGCACATTCGGTATACCCCTTCCACGTCTCTCCAAAATGTGCGCCTATAAGCCTATATTTGACCATTTCCACGCGAATCCACTTCCACTACTCTTCTCGTAGGCGCACGCTGTCCGATACGAGTATACTGAGATGTGCGCCCGGTTCGACGGCTGGCCGCGGCGGGGCGCTCCGATAAAGTCGTCTCGCATCGTAGCATTGGCGTTAGCAATCTCTCTAGTCTCTACTCATCTCTGCCAAGCCAAAACTGTCCCTAATCGCGCGCGCGCGACATCAGTAGCGAATAAGTACTTATAGGTGTAGGTACACACGATGCAGTTCATGACGTGGATATAGACTGATAGCCGGAGAGTTGCTTATCGTTCTGTAGCTGTGTGCCTACATATATATTCTCCGAGCGTCTGCTGTGCTGCTTTATTTATACGCACCGCCTCGGCTCCGATTGTACTTTGTTTTGTGCCAAAGCCCATAAGTTTGAACAATTAGGGTAAACAAAAAACAGACACCACCATGGCGGAGACGATGATATCGTCTAACGTGTCGCAGCAGTATCTCATGGACAACGACGCCAACCAGACGGCCTCGACCTCGTCCCTGGAAGCCCAACAGTCACGGGAAAAACGGGCGAGCCCCGCCGGCAGAGGTTCGAGCATCGGCTCGGTCATGGCTAGGGAATGGGTCGCCGTGTTTGTCCTCTGCTTCGTCAATCTTATCAATTACATGGACAGGTTCACGATTGCCGGTGAGAGATAAAGCGTGCCGTGTGTCTTTCCCTCGCTGTCCTCTACTCCTCTTTTTTTTTTCAAACAATTCGGATCACTTGGAAAGGTTTTTTCATACGTTTTTGAGTAGTGCCTTTTTTTTGGAGCAAGCAAAGAGAAGTGTGCTTTGTGCGTACTCTAGCATATGTCAAAAAATTATTGTTTCATCTCTTTTGGTGCTTTTCTTTTTCTGTTAGCTCATTATTTTTTGGACTCCTAAACAATTAATGAGAGTAGTGATAAAAATATTTTTCTACTCATCTGCATTTAGTTCTCGTGCATCACGTTAACAAATTAACAATTTATGTGTAACGGTTGTTCCTATAAGATTTAGTACTTTTCTCTAAACAGAGAAAATGTCAAAGTCAACGACAATACTTTGCTTGCTCCAAAAGGCTGCATGTTGTTTCCAGAGTATTGTCAAATATTTCTTAAGTATCTTGTGCAAACGGTAAAATTATTTTAATATAATATACACGATTGATGTGAAATTTTTCGTTAACGCAAACTCAAATTATTAAAAGTTTGAAAATATTTTATTTATTTTATTTTTCACGTGTTTTGTAAAAAGTTTTTTTCCCCCTTTGGTGCAGTTGCCAAAACTTTGAGTTGCATTTATAATCCATAATTCACTCATCATTTTATCGTTTGGTTGGATGTCGACCTTTTTTGCTATTCATAATGAACACTGTAATTTTTTCAAATATCTAAAATATGTTTCTTTTAATGATAACTTGTAAGTCAAAGGATGATAAAAAAAATTAATTCCTAATAAATTTTGAATGAATTAACACACGTAGATAATTCTTATCTGTATTGAAAACAACTATAATTTGTTAGCATGCATTCAAATTTTTATTTTTTAAACTATTTCTACATTTTTTAATTTTGTATAAATGACTTGATACAACTATAAATGTAATATTTATTCTGCAGGTGTACTCAAATTAATACAGCACGATTTGTCACTTAACGATGGAAAAGCAGGTTTACTTCAGACAGCATTTATAGTGAGTTACATGATGTTTGCACCATTTTTTGGATACTTGGGAGATAGATATAATAGAAAAATAATTATGTGTGCGGGAGTATTTCTCTGGTGTTTGACTACACTGATTGGTTCATATGCAAAAGTAATAAAGATTTTTTTTTATTCTTATACACAATTTTTTTATTCATAAGTGTTGAAATTTATGATTGTATCATATTTTAGACATATGGCTGGTTCGTGTTTTTTAGAGCATTAGTAGGCATTGGAGAAGCAAGTTATTCCACAATTGCTCCCACGATAATAAGCGATCTGTTCATCAATGATGTTAGATCCAAAATGCTTGCATTGTTTTATTTCGCAATCCCAGTTGGCAGGTATATACTATGCAAAATATGTTAACATTTTTTGTCATTATAAATACATTATGTTCTTCATTATTAAAATTTCTTATTTTTAGTGGCTTAGGTTATATAACAGGATCAAAAACTGCAGAACTGACTGGAGACTGGCGAAAGGGATTACGTATTACGCCAGCTCTAGGAGTTTTGGCAATCATTTTAATACTGTTGTTAGTAAGAGATCCAATCAGGGGAGAAAGAGAAGGAGGATCCCATTTATCTAATACTTCTTGGTTAGATGATGTAAAAGCTTTATTGAAGAAGTAAGGTTTTTTTGCAATCGTATTTATATATTGCTAATCTTAATTGTGTTACACGAAAAATAAGAGTCATGTACAATAACAGAAACGTATTTTCAGTCCTAGTTTTATGTTAACCTCGGCAGGATTCACTTGTGTTTCATTTTTCACTGGTGCACTTGCATTTTGGGGTCCAACATTCATTGAGAAAGGATTTAAACTGCAACCCAACGGTAAAGATATCAGTGAAGATGAGTAAGTCAACAATGTTGCTTAAAAAATTATTCAATTTCCTTGAAACTATAAAATATTATACGAGAAAACTTTTTTTTAGGGTGAGCTTGACATTTGGAGTCATTGCTATGGTAGCTGGTATAATAGGAGTACCATTTGGTTCACTGTTGGCACAAAAATTAAGGCTCAGGCATAACCACGCTGATCCACTGATTTGCGCCGTGGGCCTTATAATAAGTGCTCCTTTGATATTTTTAGGAGCGTGTTTTGCTGCTTCAAATTCTATTGCTTGTTATGTACTGATATTCTTAGGTCAATTAACATTAAACTTGAATTGGTCAATTGTGGCTGACATGCTACTGGTGAGTAAAAATTGTTACACTTTGAATTAAAAACCTTTTCTTTTTTTTTTCATAACTCCAATACCAAATGATTTTATCTTTTTTTTTTTTCCCCCAATTGAAACGATTTCCTTTGAAAAGTGACTTGTACAGTATCATACATTATCATATTAAAGCTTCATTCAGATATTAAGTCACTTAAAAACGCATCAACGCTTATCAAAGGCTAATAAATTTATCGTCCAATTGTGATTCTTCCAGTACGTCGTCATACCAACGAGACGATCTACCGCAGAGGCGTTCCAAATTTTGTTCGCCCATGCATTTGGCGATGCCAGCAGCCCATATCTCATAGGCATCGTGAGTATATACTTGTATATTCATCGAGCGATTATTCATTTTTGTTGCGTCTCGCGCGCCGGAGCCGAGAGGTACACGTAATATAACGCACTTGTTATGCGCGTGTGACGTGTTGGCACGCCCGCGACAGAGATTCGTTTGAGCATTGTACTCGCAAAATGCTCACACGATTCTCTTCATGATAATAATATCGACGTACTTAACCTTGTTATCGGTAAGTGACACATCCGAGAGACTCGACTCTTTTTTTTTTTTTTTTTATTCCCATGGGTAAAATCAGATCGAGTATAAGTATAATCTTGGTGACGCAAGTTGCTTTTGCAAAGAGCACAGGTCGATGACGTTTTTAACGGCGTGGTTTGTTTACAAAATATTTTGACGGTCGGAAATAAAACGAATCAGGGTTTTATAAATAAACCTGTTGACTCTTATTTTGAATCAAAAGCGCGTGCGTTACCTAATTTCGTCTCAATCAATTTTAAACGAAAATAGGAGAAAACACCGAATGAAGTATACTCACATATATTTTTATTTACAAACAGTTTCGCGTCAATTTAGAAAGTAATTTACGAAGCGGAATTTTCGAAGAAACAATTTCTTTCAGATATCCGATGCCTTGAAAAATGTCATACTGCCGAATTTGACGATAAATTGGATAGTGCCGCGGACTGAAGATGTAATGACGGAGGATCCTGTGGATCCAGTCGTTGCATTCAGGAGTTTGCAGTACGCGCTTTTCCTTACCATTTTTGTAGAAATCTTAGGTAGTTTCTTCTTTTTTCTCACCGCCTTGTACATCGAAAAGGACAAGGCCCTCGTCGATCACACCATCGCAGGTAAGACTTGAATTTCGATTGGTTGCTTTTATTTAACAATATTTTGGTGTAAATAACTGACAGGTACATTAGAAAAGGGCTAATGATCCTTTTAAAAGCGCAAAACAATAATGTTGTCATAAAAAGTTCAGGCACTAGAAGCTACCGAGCCCTTGGTGATTGGTAAATAGCGTGGAAACAGTTTTTTAATTTATTTATTTTTCTATCAATCAACTGACTGTTACACATCGCATATTTATTTAAGGTGCATGAAAATCAGTAGTACATTAATCATGTAAATATTGTTGAAACAATGGGAAATGATACTTTTTGTGTTTAATCTTTGGTTTTTATTTTTGGCACTAATGACGAGTTGCTGCGTCGCTTTGACTAACGACACGTCAGTTAAGTTTACACTGCAATTTTTAAACTCGTAATATAAGAAAGGGGAATTCTTAACAGTGTCTCGAATCAACGACAAATCGAGAGGTCGATGAGGTCTGAAGTAGAATAAAATTATATCGCCCCTTCCCTTGCCGAGATGCGTATAATAAAACGCGCTCGTTATTTTTGCCTCCAAGTGCAGACCTGTACCGTCTATCGGAAAGAAACATTTCAGGTATATATTCGGTTACGTATCCACATTATTTTAAGTAAAATCTTTTAGTTCTTAGTGTTGTACTCAAAATTAATGAAAAAAAAAAGAACCCTGATTTTATTGTGACTTGGGGAGTTTGGTATTATTTTACTACTTGCTTTTTTGGAAAAATAATACGCGATGATCGAGGTTCACGCGCATAAAGATTTTTTTCGTAGTGCTTGTATCATATGCATACTTTGTAGATTTAGTGCGCCATGCATTGATGTGTAGAAATTTTCACGCATAGTAACAAATCACAGGGTTGCATGTGTTTTTGTAATGAGTGTAAGTAGAATACAATCGCAAACGTTGCGAAAACAATATGTTATGGTATCAGTGGTCTTGTGTTTACAACGTTATTTTTCATCATGAAAACACAAGATTCTGTTGAGTATAGCATAAAACACTTCAAGGGGTCTTCGATAATACACACTTATACATTTTCGCTGTAAATATTTCACTTTTTAACAGCAACTTATTCAGCAAATGTGGTGTTAACTTATCACACAAACTTCCAGCACTTGTAAAAAAAAAAAAAACAACTTTTTATCTACCAACAGCTTTACGCCTAATTTTTTATTTATACAGCTATAGAGTAATCGATGGAAAGTAATAATATCAAAAATACCGATCGCGTCTCGAGTGAATGGCTCGAACGACAATGTGTAATTAAAAACAAAAAAAAAATACGTATTTCTTGCAGGATGTATTCTAGAAACTAAGAAAAAAGAAGGGGAATCGACGCGTTTGTAAATCATCAGCTGGGATATCGCTCGAATACTGAGCCGTGTAAATATATGGTACCTAATTTTTGTTCAAATGATTTCATTTAAAAAAAAAAACTTTCGTCATTACATGACTTGTGTAATCAATTTACTTTTTTTTCATATCCTAAATACGTTAAATATCTTACTACTTACTAATAGAAAAATTTTTCAAATAGAAATTATTAAATGTTTATCAACAAAACTATTAGTTTGATACTTGGTATTTATATCTCATATGTATGAAAAAATGAAATTGGTTACACATAAATTATTACCAAAAATTTTCTTATTTTTCGAACGTTTTTGTTCTTCATTATCACATTTCCTTGCTCATGATTTTATTTGTTTGCATTAGCAAATCCATTATTGCATTTATCACCAGTTTCCCGTTTTACTAACACAATATGTTTTACACTCGGAAATATTAACAGATGATGTGTTTTTACAAAAATAACGAAAAGCAGCCGTGACCATATGGTATTTTAATTTTAACTTTATGTTATTTTTCAGTTTCATTAAAAACAGTTGACCGTAAAGGTTACTGCAATAAACACAACAATGCTTCGGGTCACCTGTCAGGCATTGTATTAGTAAAAAAAAAAAAAAAAAAAAAATTCAGCACAACTCGTGTGCAACACCACAGAAAAAGTTAAATTTGTAAAAACACACTCGCAAAGTATAAAGCTTGGCTTGCACAATTTTCATTCTCAACATACCTTGTTAACATAGATGGTGTGTGCTAACATAATCGTTACGTTGTGGTAGCTAATTTGTCGTACATGCATGCGTTATAAAACGAAAATAATTAAAGTAAAAAAAAAAGCCTACACCCCCCCTGGGCCATCCACGAGGCGGTGGTATCTTTCCGGACTGAGGTAAAAAGAGTTGATGGATGTTTTTTTTTTACTTTTTTCGTAACACCTACAGTATATCATATAAGTATACATGCTTTTTTTCTGGCTTCCTTTTTTTTTTCGTCTTCAATATTTACACCAAGGTCTTGTTCCACTCTTTTTTTTTTCTCTTACGTTTAGAGGAGAGGAAATAAGGACTAAATGTATATCTCAAGTCCTTCACACGAACCCACATGTAATTTGTGCACCGATTCCTATCACTTCCAGTCTAATGCTTTTACTTGTACTATTAATAAGTTCTCTGGGATGGGCAGGCTCTTGATTACTATATACTTTTGTTTATCTGCTGATGTACTATACTTTGTTCAAATATATATGAAACTTCGGTGTGCCAATCGTCCATGCCGCGAGTCAAATTAATTTTTAAGCAACAATTTTAAAGCAAAACGAATATATGTGCCATTTTCGGGCCAAGTGCGACTCACGGCATCGATCGTCACGGCTATACACACCGATGCAGTTCACCCTAACACCCTAAACTGTGTAATGACAAAATATCGGTGGCGAGCGCTCCTCTGTACATCTAATATGCAACACACCCTCGTCTCTTCTGAATACTCTTTACTCTCATCACGTCTCCAATTTTTTTTTTTTTTTCTTGGTCTCTCACTTGGAACAAAAAAAATCTTCTCCCTCAACTTTTGCATCTAATATCCCATGAGAAGAGATCAAAATTTGAAAAAAGTAACCGAGATTCTGGATGTATATCTGACGTTTCGCCGGCTATGTTTGCAGAAGCATTGGACTCGGACGCCTCCGGAAATTTCGACGACGAGGGAGAGTCCGTGAACGTGCTCATCAGGCCCGACTGATTCTGACGACCGATCGCAGCCAGCATGGATTTTACGGCCCGGGAACGCTGCGGCGTCTTCGTCGTGCACGCCAATTGACTGCCTCATATAATTATTGTTGTTCATGTGAACTTTGTTTTTTTTTTTGTTGACGGTGTCAGCAGCAAACTCTTTTTGTTTTTCTGGTCGACCTTGGAAAGCTCGATTGTTTTGCTTCCGGTGTCGGTCGATGGAGTTTTCAGCGTATCTTTCGAAGTACACACACTTCGGATGGTACAGCAAGTTCAGAAATTGCATAGGTTCGTAATTTATTTCGCGCGAGAGGAATCATTAGCGGCACTTTGCGTTAATATTTAACGCATTGTCAGTAGGAAAATAAAAAAATTCCACTTTAAAAATTTTACCTTTGTCATGAAAGGATGACATTTTTTGCAAGAAGCATATGTAACGCAGCAAACACGATAAGTGGAATATTAAAAAAAAAAAAATTGAGCGTAGAGTGCGCGAGAAGCTCACGAACGTTATACATAAATAGTAACGTATTTAGATAATAAATCCAAACGAAATACTTATTGATACATATTTATATTTGTATATGTACAAGTCAGCATTTTGTTTAAATTTATCACGTGACCTATACATTTTTTCGAATAGCTTTTTACTCTGAACTTGAGTAACAGTCCACTCTTAAAAAGTAAAAATCTCTCGCTGTGTTAAAAATGAGTAAATCTTTACTCCCAAACTCAGAGTGTCTATTGTTTTTGATGAAAAAAAAAAAAAAAATTTACAGAGTTATATTTTAAAAATAATCCCTGCGTTTTCCTAGATTACACTTGTTGCATCTTATTTTTTGTTGTTTAGTCAAAGATTTTTAACGTCATATTTTATAGTCACAGATTTTAATACTATTACAAAAAACTCAAAGTTTATACATTTATAATGATTCAAGTGCAATTTTTTCATCTCAACCACAATGTCGTAGAAGACATCGAATGCGCATCAAAACAACAAAGTTCACGATAAAATAACTTTTTCACGCACATTTAAAGAAAGTGTTGGATCTATTGATCAAAATCACTTAATTTTACCGTAAACGTAAAAATCAATCATCATCACGTGCTTTGTTTCTTCATTTGTCACGTTAGACTACCAAGCAAAAATTAACAGTATTCGAGAAAGCAAAAGTGCAAATTGACAACTATGAAATTTAGAGCTGCCAAGAAAAATGTCGAAAAAGGTTAAAATTGATCGCAATAACCTTTGCATCTTCTGTAATTACGTGACCGTATGTGGTCCGAAATAAAAATAGATGCTTTGATATCTGTTTGATATGTTCTTCCTTTCTCCGTTGCGGCGTCGAGTGCACGCATGCATTATCGCATAAGCTGAAAGTATGCCCATGTTCGCTGCAGCATACGCGTGTGTGCGAGAGGAGAGACGTTCTTTCGAGGCGGTTCATACTCGATAATAATTGAGTTCGTTGACTGTTTGTAGAGTAAGAGAGAGAGAGAGTGAATGAGACCAAGTGAGTTATTAGTTGCCTCGGCGAGTTTAACTCGCCGGGGAGCGGACATGTTAATTAGTTGCTAAATACCCTATGTGCATAGACTGAGAATCAATGCAGTTTCTGCAAGTTAATCGTACACCATGTATTATAATCTCGGAAATATTAACAGATGATGTGTTTTTACAAAAATAACGAAAAGCAGCCGTGACCATATGGTATTTTAATTTTAACTTTATGTTATTTTTCAGTTNCATTTTAAAATCCTCTACATGGAGGGATCTAGATGAACAGATAATTTCGGAGATGGGATGGAAATTAAATATTTCAGCATACATAACACTCAAAAATTTTTTTTTACCCCAAATGAAAAAAGAAAAAGCATGATAGAATTTTTCATTCAAGTGTCACTGAAATAAAACAACGGTTGCTGTATTATTACAATCATGATTATTTTATACGAAATTGTACACTTTATATTTTAAATTGTATGTATAATATGTATCAACTATTAGTTGTGAGCAGTGGTTGTTTATGTCGTATATGAATATTATACATACATGTGGTTGTTCGCGAAAAAAATAAACCATTTTTGGCACATTGTACGAAAATAAATTTAATAGTTTTTTCTACGATTCGTTGCCTTTTTTTAAATCTTGTTTTTCCCTCCAGCATCTGATACGATATTAAATGCCTTTCAATTACACAAACTGACTGTTACATGATTCTGTTTGGACGATAATGTGAACAATATTAGTTTCACATTACTAAGTGATTACACAAAAGTGAAATTTTTACTTTATCTATTGAATTATCAAATTTTTTTTTATCGTTTTTCGATTTACTCTAATGTATCCTTTTACACCTCATGAGATAATGCATTTCGAGTGAAATTGGTTTTAGTAATTGTTTTTCTCTCTGCGTAATACTCGACTTCTATGTAATTACTTTGAATATAAATATTTCCTATCTTTGTAGCGGATGAAGCAAGTAAACTGATTTAGTCCATACCGATAAATCGGTAAATTTTATTTTTATCATGCAAAATGCTTCGTATGAAAATTATATTCATGTCTGGCTAAAAAATTGTAACTTGATGAGAAAATCTATTATTTATAATTCCCCATTATCATGATATCGTCCAACCTAGAGTGTACTGTTTTTTAATATCATACGAATCGTGTATGAAAATATACAAGTTTTCCTGATGTGCAGTGATTCCTTTTCTATTGTCATACGTACATACTGCCAAATTAATTTTCACAATGGTTCACATATTCTCGAGAAGGTTATTTGATGTACATATTGTCAAAACAATTCACTCTATAAATTATCATTCTATTACCGAAATTTAAAGTTTAAAATACAAAATTTAACATTTTTACAAGAATAATTTTATGTATAAATTACTTAAAATATTCACCCGTACCTCACACATTTTTTGTTATCACTAGTCGTTAAATTTTGAATATATTTTAATGAGCACGTAATCGTTAGATTAATTTTATTGACGCTAATGACTTCGATGAAATTTGTAAATTGGTAGAGTCGTTCGACGGGGTTGACATAAGTATAGTTTGTGATCAAATATTCACGACTGTACAGTTGAGTAAAATATACATACGAAATTTATGACAACGCACGTAAGTAATAATAACACGCTTCTAAGTAAATTTTAAATATCCACTTCAATGTTGGTACATCATTCCAAGTAATCAAACACAATATATATTAAAACCTAATAATCAATTATAATAAAAGCGCTGTATAATCGACCTTTGTACAATGTATTTAAAAATGAATTAATTTTCCAAACAACCTAATTTATTAATTGCCTTAAAAAAAAAAAAAAAAAAATAAATAAAAAAAAAAAAAAAAAAAAAAATTCAGCACAACGCAACAAGCTCAAAAGGCAGAAGCCGTGCCGTCAATTTCAAAGGACAATATTTTCGTTCCTCCCCAAGAACCGGACGGGCTGTGGGGCAGTCCTTACGGGAGCTTACTTTTCGTATAAAAAATTTTATGCCATCGCGTATTTGCGCGGACAAAAAGTTTTCCCGAGAACTAATGGGTACGGGGACTTAAGGTACGTTCTTACAACTGCGAGGAGCAAATCTCCGGAGAGCCCTCGTGTCGTTACGGACGAGTCCTTTTGGTACTGCGTTCATCGCTGGCCACTCGAGCGGAGAGCGGATGCATGCTTTGCGATTTGCGCTCGAGTGCCTGAAAAATACTCGAACCCGGTGGAAATGAACGCAAGGCTTTTCCAACCTTCTTTTGCTCCCGAGAGTTATTTTTCGCAAAAACGAGGAGCAGGAAATCACCGCCACAGGCCAAATTGTAAAACTTGAGTCTTCGTCTGTCCAAGGGCGTCTGAAATAATTTNACAGTAATAATAATAATAATAATAATAATAATAAATACATCACATGCGTATTGGTCTATTAAAAGTATAATTTTTATGCGACACTTTTAACGAGTCACGCATCAAATAAATTTCTTCATATGAGGTCAAGGTCGATATTTATAAGACATGTAGAGCGATAGAGTGAGGGATGGTGTACGGGTCTGATTTGCCATTACCACAGTCTGGTAAATGCAAAAATGGAAAACCAAATCAAGTCGAGCATAAAATATGTAAAACTATGGGACTCACGCGCAAGCGAGCGCATGTTTTATTTAAGAATATTTTCTGCAGTAAGTATAGTGTCTGAAGGACGATGAAAGAAAATAAAAGGTACGTATCTGAGGCTTGTCATAAAAAATCTTCATCGTCCATTTCACTAACTTGGCACTTTTTTGTATGTGCACATAGGTTTATGTACAGATGCCAATAAAGTGCGAAACTCGCATATTTTTGGACCAAGTTTTTTTCCTTTGTAAGCATCGCTTGTTATTTGGATTAAGTTATTTCACGTACCTGACGTCTTGGCTTGCTATAATAAATATATTTTTCAAGTTAAAATAACCAAATTCAATATTTAAATCCAATTATCAGCTCAGACAGACGTTAAGAGCGTTTTTATCTATACTTTTAGCACCACCCATACGTATAGCTCATTGCTTCGAGAACAAGTGACTGTTTCGAGTGTTATCTTTATTTCAAGCGCACTACGGAAGCAAAGAGCGGATCGCGGTGGTGGTGCAATGTTTGCGGAAGAAATTATATGTTCAAATTGTGCTCTTGAAAAATATTATTGCACTTGACACGTGACCTATTCGGAATGTCAACATTTTAAAATCCTCTACATGGAGGGATCTAGATGAACAGATAATTTCGGAGATGGGATGGAAATTAAATATTTCAGCATACATAACACTCAAAAATTTTTTTTTACCCCAAATGAAAAAAGAAAAAGCATGATAGAATTTTTCATTCAAGTGTCACATTTTATAATTGAGAAATCGATTCCTTACTCTTCAATAAAGAGAGTAAAAACGATTGTAAAAAATTTTTTGTTTTTGCATACTATATGTAGCTTATATCGAAATCTAGATTTTAGTGCAAGTTATAAAAGTGTCCCGGTCAAAAGTTACAAGCAAATAAATAAATAATATTTAGATTTCGAGAAAATGTCAGGTTTTTACAATATACCTAAAAATCGTACTTTCATATTAATTACGATGGAACAATATTGAAGTGTTTATCCATTTTTGCGTGTAATTATATCATTTGTGGATTTAAATATACAAATTAATAACGGAATTAGGCAATGGGTAGATGTGTCCAAAACTGTTCTTCTCGTAGTCTGGATGATAAAAAAAAAAAGCTCAAATCTTCATGCCAAGCGAAACAACTAAAATTTCTCTTATTATTTTTCACGGCTTTTAAATATTTTTTTCTCGTGTTCACGAAAGTTACGATTCTTTTTAGCGTTTTTCATTTCAACTTGATGGTTTTCTTCGTTATAGATCCCCGCACGCCATCATACTTTAGACGCTTTGTTTCGTTTTTTATTTTACGCGTATGAAAGGTTAAACAAT